AGTGTATTTTAGGCGCAATTAATAAATCATCGTGGCCATGGGTACGGTTCCCTTGAAATGATTACAATACGTAAATCCCAACTCAAGTGTACGTTCCACGCGACTTGACCATAACTTCAAATAATATAAAAATCAACATGTTGTAGATCACGGGTGCGTTTCACGTAACGCGATTCGTAATATGTACAAAAACAAATGAGTGCGCGACTTGTTCAAATAAATCACATAAATATTACTCCCTCCGTTTCAAATTAAATGAGGTAGTTGACTCGGCACGGAGTTTAAGGAAAAAAGAAAGACTTTTGAAATTTGTGGTCTTAAAAGCTTAAGGGGTAAAGCTTTGTGGGGCCATGACTTTTGTGTGGTTATAAAAGTTTCTCATTAAGGGTAAAATAGGTAAAATGAGGAGTTTAAAGTTGAATTATTTCCAAATTTAGAAATGTGTCATTTATTTTGGAACAGACTAAAAAGGAAAGTACCTTATTTAATATGAAACGGAGAGGGTAAAAGCGTTTGAAAAATTAAAAGCGGTTAGAAAGTTAAAAAATGCATAATGAGTTTTAAACATGTAATAAATCAGGTAATTAGGCCAATTGTTAATAGTTGAGCGACCGTGCTAAAATCACGGAACCCGGGAATGCCTAACACCTTCTCCCGGGTTAACAGAATTCCTTACCCGGTCTTCTAGTTTTTGCAGACTTTAAAACAGAGTCAAATTTCCTTGATTTGAGATTTAAAATAAACCGGTGACTTGGGATACCATAAATTATTCCAAGTGGCGACTCTAAATTAGATAAACAATCCCAATTTCGAATAATGTCACTTTAATTGGAAAAACTCCCTATCCCCCGGGAAAAAGGAGGTGTGACATGCATTAGCATGAAGTTTTAGCTTCAATGTAAAACAACTCCATGCTATATTAGCATGAAGTTTTAGCTTCAACACGAAACAACTTCATGCTACATTAGCATGAAGTTTTAGCTTCAATGTGAAACAACTTCATGCAAGTGTGATTCTGAAGATGAATCTAGACAAGTTTCTGGTTTTTTGATAAAGCTGTTGAGAGGAGAGGAGGAGATCTTTTTTCACGAGTGAGGTTGCAGATCACACGATTAATGCGTGATGCGGATTTTTTATCTTTTGTCAAGGGTGTAATTGTCATATTATTATGGTTTTTTGGTCAGCTGGCTACCAAATCAATAATTTTTAAAAATAGAGTACATGTTAAAAGGTGACACAAATATAGGGTACAACTGCAAATCCCCCTATTAACAGCTCTACAAGGTTTAAAAATCTCTTAATGGGTGAGACCTTTTGGAGAAAATCGTGTGAGTTTAGCTTGAACAACTACACATTCTATAAAAAAAATTGCAACAAATTGCAAAATCCATAGATATGAATAAATAGATCAACAAAGGCACACCATGATAAATTAATCTGCCAAAGACCATCGATATACCCTTAGGTCATTTATCAGTGTGTATATAAGTTTCTAAAGTGTGTATATAAGTTTCTAAGTTGCATACTCCAGAATCAATTGTTAGAGAAACCCAAGATTGCAAACTTTCAAGAAAATTATCCCTAATGCCCGAATTCTTTACACTTTTTTAAACTAAATCATCGATGGCTAACATGATTCCTGTTATAATTCACCATAATATACTCATTTTTTATTGGAAGAGGGGAATCCACTTGGAATGCTCCACTCCATGACCATCTAAATACATAAATTAGGCATCATGTCATCGGAGCTAGAAATTTCATACAAAAAAAAAAAAAAACCATCTAACAAAGATTTTGGTTAGGGATAGGCAATTTAAGCCCAAACCCATTTGACCCGTCAAGTTCGCCCAAGGTTGGGCCAGTCATTGACCCGCCAATTTAAACTCAACCGATCTTGACCCAGCTCTTCTCAATCCATTTAAAGTTGGGCTAATTTTTAGCCCAAATTGATCCATGTGTAACTTTGCTAAAGTATCTTTAAATATTTTTTTGTTTGATATGTTATATATTACCATAAAAAAAGTTTTATTTGATAATTAAACAATTCGTAAGAAAATAATACACATTAATTAAAGTTTGATAAGAGGTGGGCGAGTTGGACTATGACCTAAATTTTAGTCCATCATGATCCAGCCCAAGTAACTAATGACCCGCTCAATTATTGACTCAATTTATTTTGACCCGCCCAAAATCAGCTCAACCGCCCATTTGACGTCCCTAATTTTGGACTTGTGACTTAAAGCAATTGAAATTGTAACTTTAAAACAATTTTCGAACCCCCTTTGCCACTTCACATGACTTTTTCCTTATGTAAGGGAGATTCAACCGTTAAAGTTTTAATTTATAACCTAAATTATTTTTCTCTATTTACAGTATAATTTTTTAACAACTTCCTCCACTTAGCTCCGCCACCACATGCCTAGAGCCATCCAGTGCTTCGGTAAGACATCCAAATGGGAGGAATTTCTTGTAGATAATGGAGGGATTCTCTTATCTTCATAAACTAATTTCAGTTTGCTAATAGGTATTTTCACAAGAATGTAAAGTTACTATCATATACAGAAGAGCTATTAAAAAGCTATTCAGGCTCTTTTATTTGGATCAATATTTATTAGATTAAAAATAAAAAAATACGGAGCAAAAAAGTATTGCATCGAAAAGTTGTATTTTCCGGCAATTGTGATATTTGTATTAATTGGTGATAGTCTTGTGATTTTTGTACAAGAAAACATAGTTATAAGACTTTGATAAAATAGCCATAGTTGTATACAAAAAATAACTTAGTAACTTTAGTTCAAATAAAGTAAAATTTGAATGACTATATATAAAATTAACCCGTAAATAATACATCAAATGCAAGTTGTCAAAATTAACTTTTTTAACACGTGATTAGTGCTTATGCGCCTCAAGCGGGACTAAGCGAGGAAATCAAGAGGCGCTCCTGGGTTGATTTGGACGAGGTTGTGCGTGGTATCCCGCAGTCCGAGAAGATTTTCGTAAGGGGTGACTTTAACGGTCATGTTGGGGAGATGGCTAGGGGTTATGACGAGGTGCATGGCGGGTTTGGTTTTGGGGTTAGGAATGAGGGCGGTACTTCGTTGTTGGAGTTTGCTAGAGCTTTTGACTTGGTGCTAGCTAACATGGGTTTTAAGAAGAGGAGGAACACTTGGTCACTTTTCGGAGTAGTGTAGCCAAGACTCAGATTGATTTTCTTCTCATCCAGAGAGGTGATAAGAGCCTTTGTACGGATTGCAAGGTTATCCCGAGTGAGTGTTTGTTGACGCACCATAGGCTCTTGGCGGTGCACTTGGAGGTCAAGGTAGCTAGGAAGAAGAGAGGGTGTTCGGCTAACCTAAGATCAAGTGGGGAGCCTTGACTAAGGGAAAGGCTCAGGAGTTGGAGGAGAAGCTGTTGGAGATGGGGGCCTGGAGGAATAGTGGGGACGCAAGTAGTATGTGGACCACGACAGCGAATTGCATTAGGGAAGCAGCTATGGAGGTATTAGGGGTCTCGAAGGGTTACTCGGGTGGCCACAAGGGGGACTGGTGGTGGAATGGGGAGGTCTATAGTAAAGTGGAAGCTAAGAAAGCGGTGTATTTGAAGCTAATGGGGAGCAGGGACGAGGAAGAGCGGAGGTCATATAGGGAGTGTTATAAGAAGGCAAGGAGAGAGGCGAAGCTCGCGGTCACGGCGGCTAAGATTACAGCTTTTGAAAAATTATATGAGGATCTTGGGGGCAAAGAAGGGGATAGGAAGCTGTACAAGTTAGCCAAGATTAGGGAGAGGAAGGCTCGGTACCTGGATCGAGTGAGGTGCATCAAAGACAAAGATGGTAAGATATTGGTGGAAGTGGCGTGTATCAGGCGCAGATTGCAGGAGTACTTCCACAGACTCTTAAATGAGGAAGGGGATAGGAGCATCGTGCTAGGTGAGTTGGAGAACTCAGAATCGGAGAGATTTTGGATTTTGTAGGCATATTAAGTGTGGGGAGGTTGATGTGGCAGTACGGAAGATGAGCATGGGTAAGGCGACTGGGCCTGATGAGATCCCGGTAGAATTTTAGAAAGTAGTGGGTAGGGTAGGCCTGGAGTGGCTTACTAGACTGTTTAACGTCATTTTTCAAGAAAAAGAAGATGCCCGGCGATTGGAGGGGGAGTTTGATGATTCCGTTGTACAAAAACAAAGGTGATATCCAGAACTGCAACAACTATAGGGGTATCAAGCTGCTGAGTCACACTATGAAGGTGTGGGGAGGGTGGTGGAGTAGAGAGTGATGACATGTGTATCTATCTCTGAGAATCAGTTCGGATTTATGCCGGGACGATCAACCACAGAAGCCATTCACCTTGTGAGACGATTTGTGGAGCAGTATAAGGAGAGGAAAAATGACTTGCACGTGGTGTTCATTGACCTAGAAAAGGCTTATGACAAAGTCCCTAGGGGGTATTATGGAGATGTTTGGAGGTCAACAGAGTTCCGGTGGCATACATCAGGGTGATTAAGGACATGTGCGAAGGTGCTAAGACTCGGGTGAGGACGACGGGAGGAGATTCAGAGCATTTCCCTGTGGAGATAGGGTTGCATCAGGGATCAGCCCTTAGCCCGTTTCTGTTTGCTCTAGTGTTGGATGTGCTGACATGAAACATACAAGGGAGGGTGCCGTGGTGAATGTTATTCGCTGATGACATAGTTCTGATTGACGAGACGCGAGGTGGTGTTAACGCTAAGTTGGAAGTTCAGAGACAGACGCTGGAGTCCAAAGGTTTCAAGTTGAGTAGGTCAAAAACCGAATACTTGGAGTGCAAGTTTAGTGATGAGAGGCATGAAGAAGAAGTGGACGTAAAGATTGATACTCAAGTCATTCCCACAAGAGATAATTTCAAGTATCTTGGGTCTATAACCAAGGCAACGGGGAGATTGACGATGATATTACTCATCGCATTGGAGCGGGTTGGATGAGATGGAGGCTAGCGTTGGGGGCTTTATGCGATAAGAATATGCCGCCTAGACTTGAGGGTAAATTTTACAGGGTGGTGTTTAGACCGGCTATGTCGTATGAAGCTGAGTGTTGGCCCGTCAAGAAATCTCATGTCCAAAAGATGAGCGTGGCCGAAATGAGGATGTTGAGACGGATGTGTGGACATACCAGGAAAGACAAGATCAGGAATGAAGTTATTAGGGACAAGGTGGGAGTGACATCGGTGGAAGCCAAGTGGCGAGAATCGAGGTTGCGATGGTTTGGACATGTGAGAAGGAGAGACATAGATGCCCCGGTTAGGAGATGTGAGAGGTTGACCACGGCGGGCTTGAGGAAGGGCAGGGGTAGTCCAAAGAAGTATTGGGGAGAGGTGATTAGACAGGACATGTCGGCGCTTCACCTAACCGAGGACATGACCAGCGATAGAAAAGTGTGGAGGCCGAGGATTAAGGTGGTGGGTTGACAGGTAGTTTGAGTTTCTCCTAGGTTAACAATAGTACTAGTATTATTCTTGTTGTTGGTTGAATGTTACTTCCTTTTAGTTTGTTATTATATCTGGTACTGAACAAACAAGTCCAGTGTTTTTGTAAATTGCTACTGAAAATTGTTGCTCCCTGATTATTATTATTTGATGCTACTCTTTATCTTTTTTATTGGAAATTGTTGCTCCTTGATTGTTACTATCTAATGCTACTTTTTCTCCTCTTTTTCCTTGTCGTCTTTTGTCTCCCTCATCTGTTTTTCTCCCCCCTCTTTCTTCTTCTTCTTCTTCTTCTTCCCTTCTTCCTTTCCACCTTCTCTTGAGCCGAAGGTCTATCGGAAACAGCCTCTCTACCTCCCCAAGTAGGGGTAAGGTCTGCGTACACATTATCCTCCCCAGACCCACCTGTGGGATTATACTAGGTATGTTGTTGTTGTTTTTGTTATTGTACTTCTTCATCCCAATTCATGAAGCATAATACAACTAAATGAGTAGTTACTCCACACATAATTCCTATTCATATGCCCGGATAATAAAAAGAGAGGGAAACATAAATTTCAAATAAAATAGGTTCGTCCCTCTATCCTTCTCCACTGTAATACAAGATTTCGTTATGTGTGCTGATCACACCCAACTATGCCTTATAAAAAAGACAAAGCGGTCGCTGCATATATATTCCGGCTAACAAGTCCGGAGTTGAATCCCACAGGGAATTAACCTACCAATCACAGCTATTGGACTTACAGAAATTCACGTATTCAATCTTTGGAGATATTTAAGTAACAGATTGGATGTTTACTAACTAAATATTATGAAATGAAAATGCAGTAATTAAGAACTAACTATGAACGGTTTGTAAACAAGGATTGGAAGGATCTAAGGTTCTGATTTCCCCTGTTGTCGGAATCCTTTCCGCTATGTTTGCTATAAATTCGCCTACGTCTTCTCTATCCATCATGAGCTCTCTGACTGTCGTAACTCTTTCCCGTGTAATTACAACAATATACTAGACATATTCTCCCGAATTACGCTAGCTAGATTTTAAGTACAACTCACTTAGATCACACCCAAGGTTTCGTTATCCCTAATCCCACCTTTAAACCCTTCGTATTGATCCCTCATATATGTTGGGAGTGATGATGTTCAACAACTACCTAAATATGAACTCTCTCCCGAGTAATCCACACTAAATAGGAACAATTAATTGAGGTCCCTTCAATCAACAACAATAAGCATGTAGTTGAACAAATAGAGATAATACTATGGCAAATTTATATTAACGTAACGAGAAAATCATCCTTCAACAGGTTCCATCAAAACCCTAGATTAGGAATTTAGCTACTCATATCATAGTAATAATTTCCCAAATAATATTCATAATTAAATTACAAAGTAAAGATGAAGGAATGAAGAATTCGATGCCAATCTCCTCCGGAAATTGCTCCAAACGTTTTCTCCCTTCCGAAATAGTCTCCATAGGTCTAAGATGTGTCAAAAGTCCTCAAAATAGTGCTTTTATATTTATTTATACCAAGTAGGGTCGGGCCCAAACGAAACACCCTTTCCTGCGCGAAATTGGACTTGGCTATGTAAAATTTGTACTGCTGCGCCGCACCATGCGCCGCGACAATGGAACTTATCACCAGCTTCTCACTTTTCTTGTCAGGCAGCCTTTTACACTGCTGCGCCGCGCCTTGCGGCGCCCCATGCGGTTCGGCAGTGTAATTTCCTCAGAGTGAACTTATTTCGTCCTCTTTTAACATCCAGACTTGGTACACAACCTCCGAACACGATCCCGACTTAATATATTGGGCTTTTACTCAGACTTCAAAGCTCTGGATTGATAAATTTAACTCCAAACTAACTTTTGAGCTCAGGATCACTTCCTGCAAGGCATAAAACACGTACTAAGTGTAATTCACTATCATTTGAGCTCAAACACACGTAAAAATGCAGTAATTGGAATGTAATACTATGGCTAAAACACGGGTTTCTATCCTAGATCAACACCCCGCACTTAGACCATTGCTCGTCCTCGAGCATTTGAACTACACTACACCTAGGGATAACCTTTCATCAAACAACCTCCCTGATACACCATGCCAAGAATAATTAAAGTAGACTGAGCACCTTATCATAACACCCCAGCCTCAAGATTCGACTCAAAAGTACCATACATTAATCACTCGCCCACTTATTCTAATATAGAGGTCAATGACATTACCTTTCCTTCATGAATCAAGTGCCCTCACACAACACAAGAGAGTAGTTCCACAGAATAAAATTTTAAAATACTTAGGAACTCAAGATAGAAAGAATTCACTCACTCTCAGAAATAACATTCATATGCCACAAAAGATGCACCATAGGCCTGCCCGTAGTGTACTACTCTACTAATCGAGCTCATTCAATCTAGGATCAAGTAGGACTTTAATTGGTTGTAATGTAGGCTGCGGGACGGGTAGGATACATTTAGATATAAGAGTGATTACACCTCCCTAAGCACTTTAATACATACATTTTAACATTCAAGCCCATACTTATGTCAACCCATAACTCTACCTTCACATCAATATATATTAACTCCCTACGTCTTTAAGCACAATTACGTCATGAGCCACCACTATCAAAGAATATATATATATATATATTTTTTTTTCTTTTTCTTTTTCTTTTCTTTTCACTACAACACAACCATTTTTTCTTTTCTTTCTTTTTCAATTCAAGTGGCTCTTACTTTTTCTTTCCAACGCAATGCACCTTTCTCCTTATTCCATTAGTTCCACTCAAAAGCCAAACCAACCACCCCACACTTTAACTTTTACAAAGTTCATAACAATTCAAGTGCTCATGAAAGGTGAAAAGGTTCAAATAGATGGTTAATTCAAATAATTGGGTAAGGCTTGTAATATGGTTGCCAAAGAAACAGGGTTACAGGCTCAAAAGGGTTAACTACGATACATAACAATTAGGTGGGTAAAATATATATATCTGGCTCAATAACGAAACGCCTATGTCACTTCCAAAACTGAACAAAACTAATATTTCGCTTTGCAAACACACGAGGAAAGTTCTAGGCATCAAATGCAACACACAGAATAACACAAAACCTTACACACACATGGCACATAACTCACTCAGGATTGGACTAATCAAGACACTCTAGTCAAAGCAGTAAAGCACAGTTTTAATCACACAATTTATGGCATTTATTTAAGAGTCAAGGATTGAGCCTAGGTGTCACAACTAAGGCACTTACCACTCTCAAGGCATATGCAATCAAGGGAAATTGATCCTTCAAACTAGCTTCCTGACTAAAGATTCTTAATTCCTAAAAAATAAAAAGATTTAACTACACCTGGTTCAAGCAAAATCCTTGGAAAAGAACCGTGGCTTAAAGAAAAATCAAGGGAGAATTGTTACACTACCTAAAAATAGAAAAACTAAAATAAAAGACATATTTTTGGATTTTCACATATATAATTTTTTTTGTATTTTTTTATATTTTTTTTTCTTTCAACTCATCTCCCTCAAGAAACCAGTCGACGAAATCCATCGCCGGGAAGAGTCGAACTACATACTTAATTACTAACTATTACAGGCCTGATAGAATTCAGAATTATAGATTACAGACCATATTGTCTAAGAAAGCAAGAAACAAATCAAACAAAACCAACTGGCAAATGTAAAAAAAGAGAAGTACAAATACAATCAAATAGGAGCACCCCACCCCACACTTAAGAGATCACATTGTCCCCAATGCAGAACAGAAAAATCAAGAGTGAAAAAGTGACTCCCTGAGGCCCAAAACCTAATCATCAGCACTCTCGAAGGTGCGCAAATACTCCTCATCATCGGAGGGAATGGAGTTCACATCCTCATCAGGTGGCAGATGTCTTCCTCTTGCCAACCCCAACCACTGTTGAGTGATAGTAGAAAGGGGGTGATCTTGCTGAAACTCCTCCATGTCGGTCTCCCCCCGAGCAGCACGAAGGCGCAAGTCAGTAAATAGTAGCTGTAGCGTCTCCTCAATGCGGACCAACCTCTGGTCCGAATTAACAGCACTAGCAGGAGGGTCTATCACCGACGTAACATCATAAGCCCTAATAGGATAAGACACTGGAATAGTCCTGTCATAGTGAAACTCCTCCTCCACATGGTGTGCTCGCAACAATTGAGTGATCATACTCGGGTAATGTAGATGACGAGCCCCAAGTGGTCGCACTTTAGCCATATGCTCAAGCATGATTTTACCAAGATCGAACCGCATCCGAGTCAATAGGGCATAGATCAAACAAACTTTTAGTCGGGGGACATCAATGTCACTTTGAGTGGGCGTGATCTTGGCATTAATCAACCGCAAAACAACCCTGGCTGGCCGCTGGAATGTTGCCTTCTTCATGTCCCTGTGGAAATCGTTCGCATCCCGTGTCCATGCGGCAGAAGAGTCATCTCCACATAACAGGCGGCGGATAGCCGGATAGTCTGGCCGACGGAGAAACCTCTAAAAGAGCTTATGGAATGCTCTGTGAATCCCATAATTCGATTGATCACCTGGGAGGAGAATGGAATCACTTTACCCCTTACCCGTACTTCGTAAACCGCATCCAGGCTGGCTTCAAGTTGCTAGTTAGCATAAAACTCTTTGACGAGGTCACATTCACCGCATCACCCGGACGGAACAAATTGTCGAAACCCAAAGCCCGAATGTCGTTGTATATTTCACTATATTTGCGGGCCAACTTCCCATCGTCAATAGAAACCTCAGGGTCCGGGTTCACCGACGAGATAAATGTTTGGAACCAGTGTCGAGCATAGGCGGGGACAGCCGTATACCATATTTGCACGCTGGTACCTCATCTGCATCAGGGTCAATGCACTCCTCTTCCTCCTCTACTGGGGCGGGGGGAGGTTCCCGTCTCCCACCACGACGGCTACTGGAAGCAACCTCACAAGAACCAGTGTTAGAGCGTTTGCACGAG